CAAATATCATATATTAACGCACATATATGGAATCTAGAAACATGGTACCGATGATCCTATGTGCAGGGCAGCAAAGGAAACACAGACGTAAAGAACAAAGTTTTGGACTCAGTGGGAGGAAGAGAGGGTGGGATGATTTGAGAGACTAGCTTTGAAATATATACATTACCATAAGTAAAACAGATAGCCAGTGGAGTTTGATGTATGATGCATGGCACCCAAGGCCAGTGCTCTGTGACAACCTGGAAGGACATGGTGGGGAGGGAGGTGAGAGGAAGGTTCGGGATAGAGGGGACACATGTATGCCTATGGCCAATTCATACTGATGTATGGCAAAAACCATCACGATATTGTAAGGCAATTATCCTCCAATTAAAATAAATAAACTAATTTAAAAAATAACTATACCACCATCAAAATGGGAAATAAGCCTACTTTCCCTCTAGACACCCCACTGGGTTGTCTTTTGGCCCACTGGGAAGGATATCAACTGGATGGACTAAAAAGGAAACACTTATCAAATATTGCACTCGGTACGGGCCTACCTACTCCCTGGGAGGTGTGGAAAAATGGCCCCGGTCAGAGTCACTTGAATTTAACAGCATTTTGCAGCTCAGTCTGTACTGCAAACATGAGGGTAAATACAAGGAGGTTCCCTATGCCCAGGCCTTTATGGCCCTCTACCAGGATTCTGAGAAAAGGAGAAAAGGTAAGCTCAGAGACTCCGATAAACGCCCTTTCAAAGTCCTCTTGGCATGGTCCAAGGTGGAAGACCCCCCATGACCTTCTCCTGACCCCCTCAGTTCTGACAGAGTATTCGCGAAAGGGAAGTTCAGGCAGCCCCAGAAGTTGGGACTTGAGGGAAGGTCACCTACAGCCACCTCAGCTCCACCTCTTTCCCTCATGGGATTATGATCAGGAGGTAAGCTTTACCCTCCACAGGAGGAAAGGTCACCCTTGTACACACACACAAAAAATTGTCCCCTAAGAGAGGTTCTAGATGGGGAAGGGGGAACCACATGAGTTCATGTTCCCTTTTCTATGAAAGATAGTACCCAATGCAGGGAACAATTGAGTTCATATTCTGAAAACCCTCAAAAGTTTAGGGATGAATTTGAATATCTTAGCCTTAACTTCTCCCTCACCTGGACAGATGTGATGGTCATTCTCAGTCTGTATTGTAATGATGAGGAGAAAGCTAGAATCTTAGGTCAGGCTAGAAAAGTGGCTGATGAACAACAGTGGGTGGGTGGCAACCTGGCCCTTGCAGAAGAGGCAATCCCCTGTACAGAGCCAGATTGGGATCCCAACACAAGGGCAGGAAGGGAATCCCCAAGACACCTCATTACTTGCCTACTGCAGGGCATTACCCAGGGTGTCCGGAAGGCCGTTAATAAGATAAAATAAGTATTAAATAAGATGTAACAAGGAGAGAGTGAAAATCCACCCTTTTATTTTTGGGAAGGCTCACAGAGGCCTTTAAAAATTTTACCTAGGCAGGCAGACCTAAAAGGTATTGAGGGAAGAGTCCTGCTGGCCCATTCCTTCATAACCCAGGCAGTCTCGGACATAAGCAGAAAATTGCAAAAACTAGGAAAAGGGCCAGAGACATCGATCTCTGAGCTAGTTGTTGTTGTTTAGTCACTACGTCGTGTCCAACTCTTTTGCAACCCCATGGATTATAACCCGCCAGGCTCCTCTGTCCATGGGATTTCCCATGCAAGAATACTGGAGCATGTTGCCATTCTTCCAAGATCAGGGATCGAACCTAGGTCTCCTGCATGGGCAGGCAGATTTTTTACCACTGCACCACCTGGGAAGCCCAGTCACACTATACAATTTTAAAAAAACAAAAACAAAACAAACAAACAAACAAAACAACCTCTACATGTTTTCATGGGAAAAGCTTCGAGACAAATTTGGTGAAATATTTTTAATTTGACTCAATTCATGTAAATGATAGTAAGTATACATATTATGCTTTCTATGTACATGATAAGCCAGGAAAATTAATAAAAATTATAAACCAAACTTCATCAATGGTGATTATCTATGGGGAGGGGAGAGGAGCAACTGTGTGTGGAAAGGTGTACCGGGTGAGAAGTGACATGTTTAAGGTGATGTGTCAAACTTTATGCTATACATTCTTTTTAAGTCTTTACAATAAGAATAAAGTTGTGGATCAGGTTTTAAAAAATAAAGAGCCCATAGAAAGTTGAAACCCAATAAATAATGAGACATGGGTCTGCTACACTGTTTGAATACAGATAGCTGGCTACACATTTTCACTCTGAATGTGAACTCTGCTGTGTTGTATCATGGAAGAAGTCAATCTAAGATAAAAAGATATCAGAGGAAAATGACAAATTAATGTATTAAGGCCTTTTTTTCATTTTTTGAACTTGGCGCAAAAACTGCCTCATGACAGTCTCACAAGATACCCGTTTGTGGTACACCACAGTGCTTTATCTTTATCATCTTTGACTTCTCGTCAGCATCGCCCCTCATTAAGCTAGAAACAAGAAAGACTGCCACAACTGGATTAACTTAAATGTACTTCCTTTTTAACCTGGAAGAAGTCACCCCCACTAAATTGGGGCTCTAATTCTCTAAACAGGGAACAAGGTACTTCTTTTCCAAGATCACCCTGAAAGAGAAAAATATTATTTAGAAAGGAACATCCTTCAAAGTGTGGTGCTTTATATAGCAAACATAGAGACTCAATCCCCTATGTTTGCTCTGTAATCTGTTATAAATGCTCTTGTCAGTGTTCCTCACTCAGGAAAAGTCTGCTTTTCTTGACAAAGCATAAATTAATAAAGCTTGATAGTAGATTTAGATTTACTAGTGATAATAAAAAGAACTCGATTCAGATTCCTTCCTGAAAGTTTCAGAAACTTAATTATCAATATAGATTTCTATATTTATTTTCATATGACCATGCTATCTTCGATCTCCTCCATTTTACTATCTTTACCAGCAAATTCAATTCCCAATTAGAAATGTAGTTCCCTCCTAGAACTTGAGATCCTTTCCTTGATATTGGACAACTCCCTGGTATTGCAGCATTATCTTATCCAACCATTCTAGCGAAATGCTATGGCGCAATCTATCACCTTAACATCTTTCAGGGTACTGAAATGATTAGTCTGCTATTATTTCTCCCTCTACTTAGTTAACACTTACTATATTGAATAGTTATTGTAAAAGACTAAGCACAGTAAGGAGATAGAAAAAACGGTAAGGCCTCTGCCATCGAGAAATCTGCTGTCCATTTGTGGAAAAAAGAATTATATTGAAATTAGTAATTTAACAGACCATATTGATAAGCAAATACTCACACACACACACACACACACACACACACACACACACACCCCATGCGGGGAAAGGAACAGAAGCATGCCTAAGTCATGGAAGGCTTTCTGAAGGTGATTTATTAAAAGAAATTTTGGAGTAAGAAACAGATAGAGGAAGTATGTAGGTATTTTAATTCAGAGTTAATAGATGGGCCAGTGGCTCTGAAACATCTATATGCTTAAGAATGATCACTTGAAAGGTAGCTAAGCTTAATGGTTAATTAAGGGCTTGAATCGTGGTGGCAGACTTCTCAATATAAAGCCCAATTTCGGTAATGATTAGTTGTAAGAACATGAAGTTGTGACTTTTCTCTTATCCTTATTTTTCATCAGCAGTGAATAGAGAAAAACAGTACTTTTTTGGAGGGGTGAGGGGTAGGGTGGTGGTTACTATGAGGAATAAGTGGGTTAATTTAGAAAAAAAGAGCTTAAAAGAGTGCCAGACCCACCGTAAGCACTTGATAAATCTTAATATTATAATCAGTATTATCGGAGCATTTGTTCAAAATGTAAATTTCTTAGATCCCACCCTCAGAGTACTCTGATTCAATAAGTGTAGGACACTGCCCAGCAATTTGCACTTTTTACCATGCTGCCAGATGGCTGACACAGATGATATGGAAGCACTTTTGATAAAAACTAGGTTAGACAGAAGCAGAATTAAGAATGACAAGTTGTAGAGCACGTTTTGCAAATTACAGTGTTTGCTACCCCTTTGTGTTATAAACCCCTTTGAGTTTATTTAAAAAATAAATAAATACATATTTGCAAGCACTCACAATTTTGCCTACAATTTCACCTAACTTATAAGCCTCCTGAAGTTCGTCGATGAGCTCCTAAGAAACTAACAGAAGAGGGAATTTGGGAGGGAGGATCCCCAAAGTTCCTGGTTAAGAGGCCATGAAATACTTCATACCCACAAGGATGGCTACAATCAAAAAGACAAGTGGAGTAAAACAAGGTTGGTGAGGATTTTTATTTGATTTTATATTTGATTTTACTTTTTGGCAAGGAACTAGAAATCTCATACATTGGTGGTGGGAATGTAAAATGACGTATCCACTTTGGAAAATGGCTTGGCAGTTCCCCAAAGTGTTAAATGTTATAAAGTCACCATATGACCCAGCAATTCCACTCCGAATACAATATATCCCCAAGGAAAAGAAAATGTATGTTCCTATAATGGCATTATTCATAATACCCCAAAAGGGGAGACAACACAAATGTCCATCAACCAATGGGTGGACAAAAAAATGTGGTACATACCTACACAATGGAATATTTGTTAATAAAAAGACGCCTGTTACAACATAGGTGAACCCTGAAGACATGCTAAAGAAATCAGTGAAAGAAATCAGTCACAAAAGACCCCATATTATATAATTCCATTTATATAAAATGCGCTGAATATGCAAATCCTTAATGACAGGAAGTAGATTAGTAGTTGTTACCGAGGGCTAAGGGGAGCGAAAAAGAAGAAAATAAGAGTGACTGCGAGCAGGAAAGGGTTTCTTTTTGTGGTGATGATGAATATGTTATACATTCCGAGTGTGGTGACGGTTTGCACAACGCTGTGAATATACTAAAAACAATCGAATTTACACTTTAAATGGGTGAATTTTATGGTATGTAAATTATCTCTCAATAGAGATGTTGGGAAAAAAGGAAGAAGCCATGAAACAGATTGATTAGGACAGAGCCCCAGACTAGGGGAAAAAAGGGGATTAAGAGTGAAGAGAGGTTAAGGCGAGAGAACGCAGGCTTGGAAGTCATCTGGATATTGATGACAGGTGAAACGTTAAACGGACTCTCATATAACAGGGCCTGAAAAACTGAGGAATTAAAATAGGGCCCAGAGGGATTCCTACACTTCCTCTGAGGAAAGCCAGAGAAGGCAAAACTACTTGAAAATGGAATAAAATATATAGCATTGTCACAAAAGTCAAGGAGGAATTTTAAGGAGAGGTAATCAGTGGTAATGCCAAAAAGCATGATATTAAAAGACTCTACTATTAATCAGATTGAAGTATTTGTCTGTCACTGTGGAATCTTAACCCAAAATTGTTAACAATTTTATTCTCCCTACTCATGTACTTAGGTAAGTTTGAAAACAGAAAAGAGTGATGAAATCTTTTAGTAGTGAAGGTAAATACACAGTATGAGTTTACTTGCTACTACAAAGTAAACACTACTGAACTAAGCCCAAATAGATTATATCCCAAGTGAGCTGATAATACAGAAATTCAGTTACATACCTATGTTTAAACATGTAAAGCCCAATTTCAATAGTTTTGAAATTTCAAAACTAATTTGCAACATAATGATGTACAGTAAAATGTAAAAACACATCTTTTTTAAACCACCAAGAAATACCAAACACTGAATTATATTTTAAAATCAGTAGAACTCTGCTTTAAATCCTAGTTATATTTATATAAAAATCAGACTGCCATGAATTGGATGTACTTACCTGTGTGAGTACTTTGAAAATTAAAAATACACACAAAGAGTTAGCATTTAACACTATCAGATTTCCAAAATACGTGAATTCATAATCTAAAACAAAATACTGATATCTTTAGAAAATAAATCCATTGGATAAATGTAGAAAAATATTTTAAACACACATGATTTGGACATAATATTTTATATTATCCAACTTACTCTTCCTCTCCATTAGGAATTACTGTCTCTAATGAATATATGAGAGTGATTCTGTCATCAACTTTGTAAAAAACTTTAAAAAATATGGCAGAATACAAAAAAAAAAAAAACCCAAAAAAACCACGGCCATCATTAAGGTAAATCAGCAACAAAAAATTCATGAATGCTGTGCTCTCACTTTACACAATGGAGAGGTCCAGGAGCCACTACTCGATCGACACTGGCTCCAGCGAGGATCAGTTGAACTTCAGAGGTAGAAAGCGCCACAGAAGATGACTGCAGCCATGTTTTCACAACTTCCAGTGGCCATGTCAGAATAGCTCCCACTGTACCACCACCTCACATCCTCCAGCAAAGAGATGAGCTAGTGGAGGAGGCAAAGAAAGTGTTTTTCAATAGGGACCGGGAGGAGGAGGTCAAAAGGGGGGAAAGAGAAGCCCAAAAGGATTGAAGGATAGAGAAGCCGATCCAAGCCTTGGCCCAACAACAGGCTAAAATATTGGCCTTGGTTCACCCTACCACTGTGCGAGGGTCATGGGGAGAGCAAGAAAGGAAAAAGGATCCTAGGGATCCACCACTGAGATGCACCCAGTGTGCCTACTGCAAAGAGGATGGACATTGGAAAGGGGAGTGTCCATATCACCCTAAGGGAAGGCGTGTTGAGACCCCTACACCTGCTCTGTCTGTGTTAGTCCTAGGAGACCGGGACTGAGGATGCCCAACAGCTTGAGAACAGCTCCCCGCCCCTCCATCAGAATGGTGAGATCCAGATCACTCCTCTCGACCCTTGTGAACTTCTTTCGGATGGGGAGGGGGGCTGCCTCCTCTGTTCTTCCCTTCCGATTAGGACCTTTAGATTCCCTGACTAAAATGGTGACGGGGGTGGACAGAAAATCCCAAAGGCGAAATTTCACTAAGCCCCTCCATTGTAAGGTGGGCGATTGGCAAGGGACCCATCCCTTTTTATACATCCCTGGTTGTCCTGCTCCCCTACTGGGGAGAGACTTACTTTGTTGCCTCCAGACCAGAGTGAGGTGGGGAAAACTAGAAACCGATAACTTCCTTTGTCTGGTGTCTGAACATTTGCAGTCAGACAGAGGAAAGGAGGATTCCCTCCCTTTCTCAGATGAGGTCAATCCCCAGATGTGGGGTGTCTCCAGCCCCCGAGACAGCCATAAATGTTTCACCAGTGAAGATTCTCCTGAGGCCAAATACTCCCCCTCCACTGGAGAAGACAATGCTCCTTAAAACCAGAAGCTCTTGAGGGACTTGGAATGTAGTTAACAAATAAATACCAGGATATTGGAATCCTAATCACTTGTGAGTCTTCCTGCAATGCTCCAATCCTGCCTGTTAAGAAGCCGGATGGATCTTATTGACTTATCCAGGATCTAAGAGCAGTTAGAGAGGCTGTGGGTCCCATTCCCCCCATAGTCCGGAACCCATATACCCTCCTATGACGAGTCCCAGGAACTGCTCAGTGCCTTTCAGTCTTAGACCTTAAGGATGCTTTCCTTTACATTCCTCTCCATCCTGTGTCCCTAGAGTTCTTTGCCTTTGAGTGGCAGGCCCTGGGAACAAGGGAGGCCATACAACCTTGCTGGACGTGACTATCAAAGGGGTTTAGAGATAGGCCCCGTATGTTGGGGACTTCCTTGGGAAAAGAACTAAGAGAATTAACCTGAGCAAACAGTAACCTAATACAATATGTTGATGACTTGCTCATAACAAGCCCAGATTTTACCAGCTCTCAAATGGATACTATGAAAACCTTAAATTTTCTTTATGAAAAGGGATATCGGGTATCCCCTAAGAAAGCTGAGATTAGTTTAACCCAAATAAGATATTTAGGATTTATAATTACAGAGGAGGGAAAAAAAAAGCTTGACCCTCCAGAGGGAATCCCTCATCTTAAATACCCCTTACCCCCAAACGAGGAAACAGCTTAGGGGATTTTTAAGAATGACTGGATTTTCCTGGATCTGGATTCCTGGTTATGGGAATCTGGCCTGACCCCTGTATGAGAAACTAAGAAGCAAAGAGGATGGGCCACTTGATTGGAATGGAGACCTGCAAGGTTGCCTTTAATGCCCTGAAAGAGGCTGTCAGTATGGCTCCAGATTTAGACCTCCCAAACCTGGAAAAGCCTTTCAGGCTGTATGTCTCTGAGAGAGTAGGAACTGCTCTTGGAATGTTAGGACAAATGATGGGGCCCATATTACAGCCTCTGGCCTACCTCTCAAAACAACTAGACGAGGTAGCCAAAGGGTGGCCTGCTTGGCTCGAGGCAGTAGCAGCCACCACTCTGATGGTTAAAGAGGCCTTACAAAAAACCTCAAATAGCCAAAGCAATCTTGAGAAGGAAGAATGGAACTGGAGGAATCAACCTGCCTGACTTCAGACTATACTACAAAGCCACAGTCATCAAGACAGTATGGTACTGGCACAAAGACAGAAATATAGATCAGTGGAACAGAGTAGAAAGCCCAGAGATAAATCCATGACACCTTATGGACACCTTATCTTCGACAAAGGAGGCAAGAATATACAATGGAAAAAAGACAACCTCTTTAACAAGTGGTGCTGGGAAAACTGGTCAACCACTTGTAAAAGAATGAAACTAGAACCCTTTCTAACACCATACACAAAAATAAACTCAAAATGGATTAAAGATCTAAATGTAAGACCAGAAACTATAAAACTCCTAGAGAACATAGGCAAAACACTCTGTGACATAAATCACAGCAGGATCCTCTATGACCCACCTCCCAGAATATTGGAAATAAAAGCAAAAATAAACAAATGGGACCTAATTAAACTTAAAAGCTTTTGCACCACAAAGGAAACTATAAGCAAGGTGAAAAGACAGCCCTCAGAATGGGAGAAAATAATAGCAAACGATGCAACAGACAAAGGATTAATCTCAAAAATATACGAGCAACTCCTGCAGCTCAATTCTAGAAAAATAAATGACCCAGTCAAAAAAATGGGCCAAAGAACTAAACAGACATTTCTCCAAAGAAGACATACAGATGGCTAACAAACACATGAAAAGATGCTCAACATCACTCATCATCAGAGAAATGCAAGTCAAAACCACAATGAGGTACCATTACACACCAGTCAGGATGGCTGCTATCCAAAAGTCTACAAGCAATAAATGCTGGAGAGGGTGTGGAGAAAAGGGAACCCTCTTACACTGTTGGTGGGAATGCAAACTGGTACAGCCACTATGGAGAACAGTGTGGAGATTTCTTAAAAAACTGGAAACAGAACTGCCATATGACCCAGCAATCCCACTTCTGGGCATACACACTGAGGAAACCAGATCTGAAAGAGACACGTGCACCCCAATGTTCATTGCAGCACTGTTTAAAATAGGCAGGACATGGAAGCAACCTAGATGCCCATCAGCAGACGAATGGATGAGGAATCTGTGGTACATATACACCATGGAATATTACTCAGCCGTTAAAAAGAATTCATTTGAATCAGTTCTAATGAGATGGATGAAACTGGAGCCCATTATACCGAATGAAGTAAGCCAGAAAGATCAAGACCAATACAGTATACTAACACATATATATGGAATTTAGAAAGATGGTAATGATAATCCTATATGCAAAACAGAAAAACAGACACAGAGGTACAGAACAGACTTTTGGACTCTGTGGGAGAAGGCAAGGGTGGGATGTTTCGAGAGAACAACATGTATATTATCTACAGTGAAAGAGATCACCAGCCCAGGTGGGATGCATGAGACAAGTGCTTGGCCCTGGTGCACTGGGAAGACCTAGAGGAATCGGGTGGAGACGGAGGTGGGAGGGGGGATCGGGATGGGGAATACATGTAACTCCATGGCTGATTCATGTCAATGTATGACAAAACCCACTGCAATGTTGTGAAGCAATTAGCCACCAACTAATAAAAATAAATGAAAAAAAAAATAAAATAAAATAACAACAACAAAAAAGAAACTGGAGCCCATTATACAGAGTGAAGTAAGCCAGAAAGATCAAGACCAACACAGTATACTAACGCATATATATGGAATTTAGAAAGATGGTAATGATAACCCTATATGCAAAACAGAAAAAGAGACACAGAGGTACAGAACAGACTTTTGGACTCTGTGGGACAAGGAGAGGGTGGGATGTTTTGAGAGAACAGCATCGAAACGTATATTATCAAGGGTGAAACAGATCACCAGCCCAGGTTGGATGCATGAGACAAGGGCTTGGGGCTGGTGCACTGGGAAGACCCAGAGGGATCGGGTGGGGAGGGAGGTGGGAGGGGGGATCAGGATGGGGATTACATGTATATCCATG